CCTCAACTCATTTGAGGTTTGCTTGTTTTGAGCAAAGATGCTGTCTCACATTCCCTGACAATTTGTTTGTAATCTTGGTAACAATGTAACGTTCCCAAATGTGTCACAGAAAGGCATGACATAAGAATATGGATGCAAACATATGAGAGACAGCCTCTGGTGGTTGTTAATTTTTGATGCTGTGTAATTAAACTACTTTTTTTAATGTTATCTTTTTCCAGTATCTAATTAGCAGAGCCATCTGCTGAAAGAGCGATGGCCCATCTGCCTAGAATGTTGTTCTCTTCACTGTTTTGAAAAGTATCTGACACTGTGAGTCCCCATCTAATTAACTTCTCTTGCTATGGAGTATGATAAGACATAGCTTTGTTTATACACTTCTGAGAACTGTGGGTTTATATGTATGTAATAAGTACATGAAAAAAAAAAAGCCAATCTCTTCTTTCCGACATCTGAGTTACTCTTGAGATCACAGCTTCATTTATCATAACTGGAGCTCATCTCCATGGGGGATGATGAGGCGTGTGTTGTCTATTGAGAAACAACAGGCAGTTGTTTACATCCTTGGGCCTGCTGCAGTTCTGAGCATACGTTTCTGTAAGCCTACCTGCTACTTCATCGATGTGATTGTGGCACTGTGACAGGCTGAATGTTGATGAATCATGCTGTAAACTTATCACTAGATCTGAGATGCACCACCATGAGGCCACTGTACCAGGAAAATGATGCTCTGATCTCACATGATGTTGTCCAGACCAATGCAATAAGCTCACCTTTATTGCAAATACGTATCTGATGTGCACAAATGTATCTATATACATTACCTCTTCTATCAATCCTTATCTAGCAGAATATATTGTACTTGATATATATTTAATAATTATTAAATGAATGAGAGAAGAAATGCGAAAAAGTATAGCAAAACATTTAAAATGTGTTTAATATCAGAGATAATACATATGTGTCTTTGTAGGACAAAACAGGCCATATATAACAATAATTGCTCTTTATAAATATAGAGATTTCAAACTGACTTATTCATTGAATGGCTAAGTAACCACAATATTAATGCTGCATGTCTGCTTCTCATGTGTATAATGAATGCTGAGTGTTGACTAGAATAGAGAATTCATGTTCCTTTCTTCTCCTGGGCAATCGTGCAGTAGAAAGAGACAAAAGAAAATGACAAGCAAAGATTTAAAAGAAAGAAATTCAGGAAAGAATACTGAGTTGCACTGAAATCAGAAATGTACAGTGCCTTAGCATTTGTTTTGACTGCAAGAAGAATAGGCTTGGGTTGGTAGAAATGTGCCCAGAATGAGTGAGGGACAGGCAGAAGGAGGAATTCCCAAGCCACTCATAGGCTTTGCTAGAAAATGATGTGTGTACAAACAGCAAGCTTTGCTGAGGCTAGAATAAGGTCTGAATAAAGGTCTCTCACTGACTAGAAATGGTCAACTATAATCAAGGAAGTTATAAACAGATTTAAAAAGAAACTCAGATTTAACAAAGGAGTAGCTAACTTTGAGACACAAAATCCGATACAAGAAATCTCCATTAATTCCCTGATCCCTGTTTTTCTTCTATGGGAAGAAACTTCCCCATAGCTGCCAGTTGATTCCAGTGCAAAGTCCAGTTTGGTGAGGGAGAAGCAGTGTGAGATGAATCTGGAACTCTTAATTCAATATATTCTGGAACGCCTTCTGCACGTCACACCTTTTAAGGTTTCACAATACCTGGTAATATTTATTCCCCATTCTTTTGTGAAACTTGTTAAGTTCCACACTTTATATGAGGTTTCCTTTAACTTTGTCCTCTATTTGTGTATAAAATGAAGCCACAGAAAAGCTAAACAATCAAGGTTTTTAATCAGTTCTGGATATGAATACTGTTGACATGGTGGTATTGAAAATGCCTTTGGAAGTCATGTTTCTACTTTTAATAACTGCAGAAAAATCTATCTGATTTGTCCTATTTTCTCTTGGTCTAATAAAGTTCTCTAAGCAGTAGCTGTTTTTCAGTATTCTGGATAAAGTAATGTAATATTTATGAAAACCCATACTCTTTTTCTATTACTTTTCACTTCTGGTCCTTAGCCAATATTTATCTTTCAAGTGCGAAGCCTACTTAAGTACCAGGTAGAGTGGGGAAGCTGTTTGTTTGCCAAGCAGCAACGAGAGCTAAACAATTTGGTGGCATTTGATCACTACTCCCCCTTAATCCTGGGGCTAACCCTGCTACCAGTGTTCTTACGCTTATTCAAGAGACTATTAATATTTAACTTTTTTCAGTACTGGGGATTGAATCTTGGGCCTTGCATTTGCTAGACAAGGACTCTACCCTTGAGCAATGTCCTATTGTATTTTATTTATTATTTATTTATATTTATTTTTACTATGTATGTGGTGCTAGAGTCACTAGATTACACAAACTGAATTTTAACTCACTAAATAGCCCAGACAGGCTTCAAACCTGTGATCCTTCTGATCTAAGCCAATCTTTAACCCTTGTATGTCTCTCTGTGTGTATATACATGTTCCTGTGTTCATGGAGGGGTCGGAGGGGTCAGCCTTGGGTATTATTCCTGTAATGACACCTCCTTGGTGTTTTCTGTTTTGTTTGTTTTCTTGCTTTCTTGAGACATGGGTTTCTCACTGGCCTGTAGTTCACTGGTCAGGATAAACCAGCTGCCCAGCAAGCCCCAGGGACCTGCCTGCGTCTTAACCTCCCCAGAACTTGGATTGCAAGCATGTGCCACCACACTTGGCTTTTTTTTTACCTGGGTGCTAGGATTTAACTCAGGTATTCATGTTTGCATAGCAAGCACTTTACCTACTGAGACATTTCCCCAGCCACCAATAACTTTTAACATTATCACCCTAACAAAAAGAGTCATCGCGAGTGCCTCTTCAGCTAAAGTATTTCACTGCACCATTGTAGTCAGAGCTATGCAACTCTAGCCCCTCTTTATGCTGTATAGCATTAACCCCTTTGGTAATATAAAATTAAGTTTATAATGAGTGCTTCTTTATTGAAAGAATGTATCAATCCTGTTTTACTTTTAAGCATAGCAAAGATACAGATGTATTTCTTTAAATAAACCAACAGTGAGTCTTCATAAACAGACCTAAGAAAGGAGCACAGAGGTCAGACGAGGTTGGCACGATGAATTTATCTTTTCTTCTCCTTTCTGCATGTCCCAGTGTGAAGCTCTCACCCCTTGGTCATGTCTCCAAATTTCATGATAATATTTGCCATCCCTAATGGAATTCAAGGCAGCTGTTTGCATTAGAGCCTGGTTAGCTGCAACTTCCGTGTTCAAACACTGCACCCAGGAAAGCATCACAGAATTATCACAGTCTCATATTAGATGCCCATATTACAGAATTCTCCAAGTCCACACAATCAAAAACAGACACGTATTCTTCTTCCCTGAAGGACACTGAATGCTTATCTCAGACTTACTTGTCTTGTGGCCTTGTGTGCCCACGGAGATAAGTTATCCGAGGCCCTGTGGTATGACCTCTTCTGCTATGCAGCACACCCTGGAAACAGCAGGTGTAAGATACGTTGTTAGCCTAACTTTAGTAGTCTCTTAACCTTAGGAGAATTTGGAAACAAATCTTACTCACAATAAGGGTAAAGCCAATATTTTCCTGCATATTATTTTACTTTGCTTTTCTTAAGTTTATTATTTGACATTTGTCCAACATAACACAAATATCCCCTTCATGTGTTTTCCTGGTAATGGCTTAATTGGTACACAACTCTTTATCTTGAGAAAGTTAATTTTAATTATAAGATGGTTCAGTGGTTAAGAGTACTATCTGTTCTTGCAGAGGACCTGGGTTTGATTCCCAGCACCCACATGGTAGCTAACAGTCATCTGTAACTCCAGTTCCAGGGGATCTGATGCCCTCTTCTGACCTTTGTGGACATTGCACAACACAGGTGCACTTAATATACACACAAGCAATGCACTCATAAAATGCACACTTAAAAATAATTGCACCAGGTGTGGTGGTGCATGCCTTTAATCCCAGCACTTGGGAGGCAGAAGCAGGCGGATTGCTGTGAGTTCAAGGCTAGCCTTGTCTACATAATGAGTTCCAGGAGATCTGGGGCTACAGGGAGACCCTGTCTCAAAAAGACCAAAAAAGTTAATAAATAAAAATAAATAAATAAAATAAAAATAACAAATATAAAAACCACAAGTATGTCAAGAAATGGAGAACATATTTTGTTATAAAAATCTGCATACCATAAAATAATGGAAAAGAAAAATAATTTAGTGCTTCAATTTGTTTTACATGATTTTCAATCTTAGCATGTAAACCTGTGTTCTTCACCTCTTCCTTGAAGCAAACAGAATTAACTAATCAAAGTTTCTCTTTGTGATGGAGGATGGGGTGATACACATATCAACTCCATCAGCATGGGTTAGATTTGAATTTGAGATAAAAGTATTAAGCATCACGGCTCTGGATGTTTAGAACAAGTAACAGCAGGAAAGTTGCTGGCATTGGAGGAAATGGTTGCTGCGCCCTTTGCATGAGGTGCTCATGTACTGACTGGCATGTGTATATGTATCTTGGTACTGAGGACGTGCAAAGTCACCCGCCGCATTATCTATTCGTGTTGATGAGAAACACAGTGTACAATAAGCTCTGGAAGAGTGAATGAACATAAATCCATCTGTTTTAAGGCCCCCTTTCTTCCTTTGCTGGGTCCACTTCCTGGTTTCTCAGAAACATTCTTCTCTCCCGGTGACTAGATCTGGATGTCCCATTACTTGGGCTGTGAAGGAAACGCACAGGGGTGGTGAGTCTTTAAATGTAAGATCATAACGTAATGTCCTGTATTTGGTATGATGTCTATCTATATGTGTGCAAAGTTGAGGCTCAAGGACTCACCCTCATGGTCTGATCAACTCACTTCTTTATTTCTCCCTTTTATTCACTCAGAGCCATAATGGTTTCTGTTTCTTGTGCTCTCTGCAGGCTGTGGAGTGGGGGTGTGATGAAGCCACCAAGAAGGCCTGCTACAGCAAGGGCAAATCGAAGGTAAGGAACACAGAGAGGGGCGCAGACATCCCCACCCCATGTTGAAGGACCATGTAGTAAGCATCTTGAGTCCTAATGGCAGGGTCTCCTATAAGGTGGAAAATGCTCAGATTGTAAATACTCAAGTCAAAAATATATTGAATTTTTTCGATTTTCATGCAATGTAGTTTGATGGTATTTAGATTCCCTCCCCTCTCTGCTCCTCTCCTCATGGCCCCTCACCCAATTTAATGTACACTATTGTATACTTAACACAGCCTACAGAGTCCAATCTGTCTCCCCAAATGTCCTTTATTGTGGGTCCGTCCACGGGGCTCAGCGAGAGTCCCAGACCTGTAAGACACTCAGTACTCATTGTTTTTAACATTGACTGAAAATTAACTAAAACAAACTATCATTTTAACAACAATAACAAAAAAATCAGGATATAAGCTCAGATCTAATTTTTACTTTCAGTCGTTAGAGAGATACATTTACTGGGTATGCTATTATTTGAAAAGATGTGGGCATGGATTCTAAAAGATTTTTTTACTTCTTTTATGCTTTGTAGGTAAGTATGGGAAACACATGATTTTAGTTGTAGGGATCAAATCAAAGATCTTACACATGCTAGGCAAATATTGTTCATTTGCCCAATACAATTACCAAATCAAAAATAACTTAAGATTTTTTTTTTTTTTTGGTCTTTTTGAGGCAGGGTCTCCTTGTAGCCCCAGCTGTCCTGGAACTCACTATGTAGACCAGGCTGGCCTTGAACTCACAGAGATCACCTGCCTCTGCCTCCAAAGTGCTGGGATTAAAGGCATGCGCCACTACACCCGGCCTTAAGATTTATTCTTAATGATTTAACATAATATGTTCTTGTAATTGCTGTTTCTGCCAATGCTTAAATGTACATCCCAATTCCCTTGGAAAGAGCACTGGTAGTTGAGGCTGGAGATGTGTTCCTGTACCTCGCAGGCACACAACTGTGGGTTCAGCAGCAGGCATGAGGTTTTGCTTTTGTAGGAATCCTGTGTGCCTTTGGAGAAATCGCCCCTTGCTCTCTGGAGGAAGCTCCTTTACAGCTGGATCTGCTGGATCACTGCCCCTCCTTCTAACAGTGATGGTCTTACTTTGCTGACATGTGAGCTTTTCGGGTGCTGATGACACTTTAGCCTATGGGAAAAGCAGTTGCAAGAAGAGGATCAAAGGAAGAGGGAGGAAGAGGAGGAGAAAGAGGAAGGAGAGAGAGGAGGAGGAAGGGGAGGAGGAACGGGAAGATAAATTGAAATTGATGAACACTTTGGCCAGAAAATGTCTCCTGTATCATTTTTTTTCCTTTTTTCCTTAAATTTTGCAAATTTCATACAATATATTTTCATCATATTTAGATCCCCTTTCCTATCTCCAGATCCTCTGACCACCCCCCACCCAGTTGAGTGTACTCTGTTTTCTTAAGGCCTGAGAGTCAAATTTGTGTCCCCAAATGTTCTTGGGTGTGGACTCACCCCCTGGAGCCTGGGGAACCCACCGAGAATCTCACCCTTAAGAGTCTGACTCTCTTCCCTTCCCAGAAGCAATTGGTTCAGAAGGGTTGGGCTTTCTTCCCCCTTCCCACATCTGTGCTGGGATTTTATCTGACTTGAACATCGGTGACTTGTGCATGCTGTATTTTATTTGCTGTAAATTCATTTGATTAACTTCCCACCTACTTGAGAAATTCCATTTCCTTGCGGTCATGCGCTGCCTCTGGCCGTCTTTCTTCTACCTCTTCACAATGACCCTGAATGTTTGGAGACAGAAGTTTGATATGGATGATCTCAATTCTGGGGCCACTCTGCAGCCTCTTGCTCTTTGCACAATAGCCGGTTGTAGGTTTCTATTTTAATCACCATCTGCTGCATAAGGAAGCTTGTCCATTGAGAGATGCAGGAATCAATGGGTATAACAAGTCATTGCGAATGCTTTAATACATCTGCTTAGCAGAATAATAGTATTGGCCTCTGTCTGTGGCCTGTGGGCTGTCTGACTTCAGGTTCCTAAGCTTGAGATCAATGTCATATATGAGCTCCATCTTATGAGGTGGATCTTAAGTCCAATTAGTAACTGATTGATTCCTCCCATGATAGTCATGCTACCATTGCACCAGAGGGCATATCTTGCCAAGTCAGTTGTTCAAGTTTCAGCTTGCATGATTCACAGCTGTGTAAGGTAAATGATTAATTTCCCCTTCCTGTAGCAAGCATAGCACCTTCCAACACTATGAAAACTAGTCATTACAGATGAAGTTTTTAGTAGCAGCTTGATTTCTCCTTGTATTTTCTGTAGCTCTTGTGCATAGTCTCTTTAGCAAGAGGGTCTTACTGTGAAGTTCTGGTGGGTAATCAAGAACAGTGGCAATGGCCAGTATTGATTGAGGGTCTATGGCACCCCACATCAACAGCTTCAAAAGAGGGAGTCCATGCCTAGCATTGGGCTTTTACTTTGCAAGCCCAATGTGTCTATTCCCCATTCAGAAAGGCTAAGATCAAAAAACCAAACAATGACAAATGCTGGTGAGGATGTCACTGTACAGCTAGTAGGAGTGCACACTGTGCAGCCACTGTGGACATCAGTGTGGAGGTTCCTCAGAAAGCCAGAAATCCATCTACCAATGATCCAGTCACCCCACTCTGGTACCCAAAAAGCTCTTTATCCCGCCACAGAGACACCTGTTCGTCCACATGTCCACTGCTGCTCTTTGCACAACAGCCAGGAAGTGGAAACAACCTAGGTGTCTGTCACCTGAGGAATGGATAACGCAAGTATGCGCATTTACCCTAAGGAATAGTATTCAGATGTCTTTTTTTTTTTTTTCTTTGAGACATGATCTAGCACTTAATGATGTGGAACTCACTATGTAAACCAGGCTGGCCCCTAACTCACGGAGATTCGCCTGTCTCCCTCCCCAGTGCTGAGAGTAAAGGCATGTGCCACCAATCCAGCTGAGATAAATTACTAAAAGCACGTGAAAATGTAATGGTAACTCCAGGTTACAAAGAACCAGATTACAAAATAGTCCTGAATAAATGAGTAAATAATGATAAAAATAAAAACACCCCAAAGACCTAAGAGTCTTGTTTGATTTTGTAGTGCACAGGGGCAGTGTTTGGAAACGTGCCTGTTGACTGGCATTGGCCTGCCAGTGATGTTGAGCCTCCATTCTGTGGCCATGTCACAGCACACATACTTGTGTTCCTTACAGAGCAGGCACTGTGCTACTCCTGTGCGATTTTTCCTGGCGAGATGGGAACAAACATCTGTTCACTTTAGCTAGGAAGCTAACAATAGACAGAAGAAATGAGTCCACCGAAGTCAAGCTTGGTGAAATTGAGTGTGCTGGGGTGAGAGGTACTTGCAAGCGCATGGGTAATGAGTCACATGGAAGCTACGTCACTGCAGTTCCCTGCACATTCTGTAGGAATCTCTGTGGTCTATGGAAGAGTCCTCTCTCTTTCAGGAATTGCTTACCTCCTGTATAAACTCAGGGAGGGGTCTCATGAGGCTGGAAAGTTTCATGAGCTTCCTGAGCCTGTGACCTATCCTTTATCCCCAGGAAGGGAAGGTTTCAGCCTGGATGAAACAGGCAACTCTACCTCTCCCTCAAACTCCCTATGTTTGTGTGTCCCAACTTGATTTTCATCAGTTTTTAGTCTTCTAAAGCCCAGTAGCCATTTGTCTTTGCCCTGTCATGCTGTGCTGTAATTATCCAGCCCTGGACCAGGAGCTGTGTCAATGGTTTCTTGATGATCTTGGTGTCCTCGTGAAGCCCTTGGGCACACAGAGATTAGCAGGTAACTCACCCCAGGGGAGTGAACTTCCATCAGTTTATCACCCAGAACATGAGTGAGGTTAGGGGAAAGATCGTTCTTTATGAGGAGACTTCTTCTATGTAGTAGGTCCAACAGCTTACCTACCTCTACCCACCGTGGCATGGCAATTAAAAATGAGCAAAAATTTCTCCAGACATTGTAAGAGGGTCTGTGCTTTAATTTTTCAAATGATAAGTGAATTGGCCATTTTTGTATATTTTGATTTTTTGCTCTTATAGTATTTTTAAGGTTTTGGGGAGAGAATTTCATACATGAATTCTGTAATTACATTGTTATCAGTTCCCCTCTCCACCTCCAACTCTTCACACAGCCCCCATTCCCTCTCAGTTTCATAACCTCATAACCTAACTGTTGTCAGGTGTGTGTGTGTGTGTGTGTGTGTGTGTGTGTAACACCTGCTGAGTCCATTTAGTGCTGCTCTCGTATGGACAGGTGTTTACGGCTGACTACTTAGCACTAGATAATTTATCAAGGAGCTCATCCCTGGAGAAAACGGATTCTCCCTTCCTCAGTATCCATTGACCGCCTGTAGCTCTTCACCTAGAGGTGGGACTCCTTGAAATTTCCCTCATCCACATTGGCATGTTAACTGGTGTTGTCTTTGTGCAGGTCTTTGTTTAGACAACCATATTGTTGAGATTTCATGAGTGAACCTTCCCTGTCATGTTGAGAAGAAGCTATCTAACAGCAGGTGTCGTAGTCCTCTGCTCTAACAGCCTCTCTTCCATGAAGTTCCCTGAAACTTAGGTGTAGGTGTTGCATTGTAGATGAATCATTTGGGGTTGGGAACCTCAGGATCATCACTTAGTTGCATTTTGACCAGTTGTGAATCTCTGTAAGAGTCTCCATCTGTTGTAAAACAAAAACAAAAACAAAAAACAAACTTCTTTGATGAGTCTTATACTTATCTGTGGGTATAAGGATAAGTATTTAGAATATAGTTAGAAATTATATTATTTTAGGAAAAGTGGCCACAGTAGATTCTCCTCTAAGATCTATGACCTCCCCAGCCATGGGTATTTGACTAGGAAACTACATATGCATTTGTTTCACAGACTTTTCAAAATACTGACAGTTAATTCTTTCCCTCCATGGACTTCAATTTCCTTGTGTTCCTTGTGAATATGAGGAGAGCAGAGGTGATTT